CAAGTAATTAGAAAATATGGTGATGGTTTAGCAGAATATACAATTTGCGATAAAGGAAAATGTGTTGATGCTAATGAGAACAACTGATGGCGCATCAGATATGCAAATGATGCTCGAGGGTCACGCTTTAAAACAACTCGTTTTACTTGGAAAAAAATTTAATTATTTCTTAAAAATCATCAAAAACATTAAACCACACCAAGAATATTTACTAATTATGGTAGAGAATATTGGAAAAAAGTAAAAAAGAAAGTAAAATATTGTAAATAAATAAATATTTTTTATTGAATAAAATATATTTTTACATAAATGTTTTTTAATTAATTAATTAAGTACACAAATTGATTTCAACTAAAATATCGACCCAATATGAACTTAACAATGTAATATCCCTTTTGACCTCTTCTTCTTTTACCCCTTACATGCATCTGACCTCATATGCACCTTTACCCAATTGATTATTTGCAATTTCAATGCTTTATCCATTAAGGGTGAATTTACAAATTTTTTTGCTTTAGAACCCAGTATTCCTGATTTTGCTATAGCTCTGGCAGCTTTTGCAGATTTTAACGCTAAATGTTTTTTACTTAATGCTTTTTTAAATCCTGATTTAAGTGTATTGCGAATTTTAGAAAATTTAATAAATCCTCCTTTTTGTCGTCTCCCTCCTCTTTGACGTCTTCCCATTTTTTTAGTAATTTTAAAAAAATATTATTTCAGAAATTTAAAATGTGATTTTGTAAAAAAATCTATATATATGTTATAACAATTGTACTACTTCTGCATAAATAAACAGATATTGCTTCCCATGCATATATTTATTGAATTTGCTTACTATTTATTTTACTTATTTATTCTTTTTAAAATAAAATAAAAAATGTATAAAAGAAAACGAAAAAGAATTAAAAAGAAAATATAGAAAAAAGCACAAAGAGGAGGAATTATTGGTGGACTAGGGATTGGCATTAAAGGGTATTGTTCCAGCTATAGCCAGTGGAGTTGTTAAAATATTTAAATAATAATAAATTAATAGAAATAATTTCTTTCTGATGAAACAAAAATGTGTAAAAGGAAAAGAAAAGGAAAAATTATTGTATAAGAGGATCAATAAAAAAAATAAAACAAAGGGGGTGGATATTTAAAGACAATGATGAATGAAATAGAAAAATAGAAAATTTGTATTTAATTAATCAATTATTTCCATTAAATTTGAAAAAAATAATTCATATCTATCAAGTCCATTTTTTTAAAATAAATAAAATATCATTACAAGTTGACGTATGAAAATTAGGATCTCTATCAAATATTAAACCAATTGTTTCAAACGTTAAAAACTACGTGTTGTTAATGTAAAATTAGGTTTTCTAATTGTTTACATTTTATAATAAGTAAAGTTATAAAATCATCAAACAATATATTACAATATTTACAAGATAATATATGTCGTGCATAATCCGTATAAATTTCGTTTTCTATTAAAAAATTATAAATTACATCTTTATTTACATTTTTCAATTTTATTTTTTCAATTGTATTAAAAAATTTTTTACAAGATATATAAATTTTTACATCTACTAACATATTGAAAAAAATATCTATATAACCATTACACTCTAAACCTAAATGAAAACTATCTTTTACAACCTGAGAATCATACATAAATGTTGAAATAATCATATAAAATTATATTCGTTTGTTTATTTAAAATAATGATATCTGCAACAAAATTTTCATTAAATAATAATATTTTTATATTTGCATATAAACTTTGGGTAACCAATAAGTCGAAATTAAATAAAGATGTTCAGTATTTTCATTCTCCCAACAACGTATTATCCCTACTGTTCCATATAGAAATTCAATGAAATCTACATTTTGAAGACGGTTTGAATTTTCATCATTTGAAAAAGATTTAAAATAAAGCGATATTTTAAATCTTCTACAGTTAACTTAATTTTAAGCACTTTCATTAGTGACGAGTTCTTTTCAATTTTAATAAACAACTGCATACAAAATACAACGGATATAACAATGGATGACCAGGATATTCGTTCAATAAAATGGCAAATACTTGGATAGATAAAAATCCATATCGTTAAACTATAAAAAATATAATAAACGTTAATTCTTTTCGAGGTTATGTAATGGGTGAAATACACAAAAACGGTATCAAATATAATTTCTTTGTCACTATGTTATCTGCAAAGAAATACTAATAAAAACCATTTAAAATGAAACAATTGATTTTTAATATATTCATTTATATACATTGTATAGTTAGAGTTAATATCAACTCGTGGTTTTATATTGATTATAATAAAAATTACAAGTATGTCCACCAAAATGTCCTACACGACAAAAATATATCCATTGTGATCTATAACAGCACATGACTTTTGATATAATGTTTTTCCATTATTCAATTTCCAAAAAATTACTAAGGAAAAAAGTATCATTAATTTAGTTTAACTCGTTTCATAGCTTTTTTGTCAGATATTATCTTTTCTGACCTTTCTTTTATTAAATTCAATTTTATCATTGTCATATTCTTCTTCTTCCATATAATTGTCTTCTTCTTCAGCATCATTATTTTCGTCTTTTTTTAAACCCGCATAAATTTTATTCAACAATCCATTTGGGTTTAATAAAGTACAATCCATATTTCCTTTTTTCAAAATTTTTAATAGAAAATTGTCTTTAATTTGAAATGATCCTTTCTATCTTTCCACGAATAATGAAAGAAATCAGCTTCAATATAGTCCAGTATTAATTTTTAAAAGTTAACTTGAACCTTACAATAGCACTTTTGACAGTTCTGAAATTTACTTTCATGAGTTCTTTAAATAAGCTCATTCTTTTTTTCGAATATCCCATAATTTTCCCTAGCAAAAATTAATAAAATCTCTTTTATTTTTAAAAACCCTGATTCTTTGGATTATGCATAAAAATATTTAAAACTTTATCAAGATCTTTAATATCATAAAAGTTCTTTTCATATCAGCCTTTTATAATAAAATGATTTTTCATCCATATTAAAAATTCTAAGGTGAATGATATACGTCTTTACAATACAATTTATAATAAAAATCCAGTGTGATATTTCATCAGTATGACGCAAATACTCTTTTAAATGATCCATTAATTGCTTTCT